AAGATGGCGAGGTAAGATGTTTGGCTTGTGGAGCATGGAGAAATGCCACTATTGCTAAGACCAGGTTTCTGGGCCTTGGTGGCCAATGTCTCCAGATGGTAGCAGGAAGAAGCACGTAAGGCCCAGAGAGACATCATGTCACACCGAAGCCCATCTGCCTGTTGGCTTAAGAGGCCTCAAGTTCTTTCTCAGAGCTGAGTGACTGCAGGACCTTTCTTTGGGTGGGCCTTTTATTTTCATCATGACCATTGTCTGTTTCTCTCCCCCAAAGCCTGCTCTCCAACGGTTGCTAAGAAAGGAGCTGGCTGTTGGGCATGGCTCTTGGGTCACGGCGGAGCCCTCCAGGCTAGTGGCGGGCTTTTGGGAGTCTGGCTGTCTGGGTGTTTGGCTTAGACAAGTCGGAAGCGGTTGTAGAAGGTAGAACTAGTTCCCTAGGGTTTGTTTATCCTGCTTATCTGACCTCAGAGCCCAGCCACCCTAATGGCTTTTAATGACCATAATACAACTGTCTCCCCGATGACCTCTTTCTCACATGCTCTGCCTGGCAAGGAAGTAGGTCCAGATGTCATGTGGGGCTGCCTCGATGGCACTGTGATGGCCTTTAGCTGGGACAGAGCGGCTTTCCCTCAGTGCTCTCTGTAATGTAGGGCGGAGAAAGCTGCCCTGAGAATGTGATTCCTGCCCTGGAGGCATGCCATGACATGTAGGACTCTCGGCAAACTGGCTTGACCTCCCTGGCCTTTATCTCCTGAGGCTTAAGCAACACCTGGAACAGACTGTGCAATTTAGCCTGAGTCTGTCACTGGTCAGCACTTCCTGCCCACATCAGCTGTTATTTCCTGAGACGCAGCTGCCCTGGGATGGTACGGGATTGGCCCAGAAATTTCCCAAGGGTGGTTTTGATGGCTATGGCTGCTGCCCACCTGACTACGGTGGACACTTCCCAGCTATCGGCTGCCACCCCAGAAAAAGGACAAGGCTTATGGAGGCTGGGGTTGCCCCTTAACTCCCACGGTGCGTTTGTCCCTGGAGATGAAGATTTCTAGGAAGGGAAAACTCTTGTTAGTCAGAGCTCCCATCAGCTCACAGCCTTCTGCCGGGATGGAGTCCCGCTCCTGTTTTGCCCCTTCTCCACCCTTTTGTGCAAGCCCCAGCATCCCGACCAGCTGAGTCACCCAGGCCAGGACTCCAGCCTGTTAACAGCAGTGTTGCATGGCTCAGACCCTGCTGAGGACGGGCCTGGCCTCTCCTCCACCCACCATGTGGGTGGCAGCTCCTTTTCATTGGTGGTGTTCTGAGTGTCTCCTACTCTACAGCTGAAGCCTGGAAGGGACTTGGTGCTTCCTGGCTAGGAAGCAAGGGAATGACGGGAGCGAGGGTTGACTCTTGACACACGGCACACTTATGCTTGTGATGCCTGTGTTAGGAAGCAAGTTGGGGTCTTCTGTTATAGGACAGTGGTCCCTCTGGGACATGGTTGCTTCGCTCCCTGGGTATGTGCAGTTATATCTGGACGCACTTTAGGCCGTGGCAGTGGGCGTGGGGTACTACGCACATCTGGGATGGGGGAGTGGTGACTATTTCCTCTAGTTTGCAGCACAGCCCCATGCAGCAATGAGGTGACCCAGCGGCTCCCCCAAGGCCATCTTACTGTCACTCTCTGATCATGTGTCCTGACTTCTGCCCCAAGGGATGTGATGACACCCATCCCCGCTCTGGCCCAGGGTGGAACCACATTCTTGGTCTTCGGCTCTGATGTCTATCTGGGGCTATTGTCCCACGTTTGGTTTCCACTCTTGGCAAGGAGTGACACCTGCATGTCCCACCCTCAGCTCAAAGGAAACGTGCCCCAGCCTGAGCTTGGCCTCCGCCTTCCCACCCCATCCTCTTCTGCAGCCCTGTGCCCAGGCCCCATCCCCGCCCCTTGCCTCCTCCCTGTCTCTCCACACCCTACCCTACTTGGTTCCTGCTCCTGCCACTTGTGTGTGTGTGTGTGTGTGTGTCCCTTCTTTTTATTTCTGTCCAGGTTATTTGTTTGTTTGTTTATTTATTTTGTCAACCTGACGCTGTCTAGGGTCATCTGGGAAGAGGAATGCCAGTTGAGAAAATCTACCCGTCAGATTGCCTGTAGGCAAGTCTATGTGGCATTTCGTTCATTAATGATTGATGTGGGAGGGTCCAGCCCTCTGCGGGCGGTACCACCCCTAAGCAGGTGGTCCTGGGTGTTATAAAAAAGCAGGTTGAGCAAGCTGTGGGGAGCAAGCCAGTAAGCAGCCTTCCTCCTTGGTCGCTGTTTAGGTTCCGACCTCCAGGCTCCTGTCCTGATTGAGTTCTTGCCTCAACTTCCCTTTGTGACAGGCTATGAGCTGTGAGAGGAAAGAAATCAGTTTGCTTTTGGCCATAGTGTTTGTCACAGCAGCAGGAGCTAGACTAAGGCAGCTCCCTAGCTTCCAGGTTCTCTCTGGTCTGAGAAAATGCCATTTTGTCTGCAGGGCCAGTCTTCCTGAGTGCAGCAGCTGGTCTTCCTGAGTGCGGCGGCTGTTCCATGTCCCACCTGGTTCCCTTTGCTAAGCAGGGAGAGTCCAAGAGTGTGACCTCTCTCTTGTGGAACCAGGAGGCTCTGGCAGTCATTGGCCAGGGTCTCTGTGGTTCCGGATATCCACTCTGCAGCCAGAAGATCTCCACAGCTATGTCCACAGGGTGGAAGGACTCTGTCTGCGCCTGTTGACTCACAACCTCTTGGTCATAGGAGGTTTGCTCGTTCACACACGCATTTGCTTGTCTGTGAGGGCACTGGTGAATCCATGGAACGAATGCATGAGTTCATTTAAGTAGTAGCGTTTGGGGATGTTTCACATGCGTTTCTGTTGTTTGTTTCTTTCTTTTTCACTCCTGGAGACTGACCCCAGGACCTTATGTATGCTAGGCAAGCACTCCGTCACTGAGCTGTATCCACAGCCCGATGCTGACTTCTTATTTTGAGACAGTGCTGCCCCTGCTGGCTTTGAACTTGTTACCCTCCCGCCTTAGCCTCTGGAGCGGTTGGACGGTTATATCTGACTGTCGTCATTTTGGAGGTGGCAGATTATGAGGATGACATTTCCAGTCTATTAAATTAGGGACTGAGTAACTGAAGAGTGACTTCTGGGCTTTGGAAACAGAATGGAGTAAAGCTGAGAGTGACTTATTCTTACACAGTGTGCCCTGGGTATGGAGGGCAGTGTCACAGCTGAAGGGTCTTCTTGAAGGGCTGCCAAGGGGAGGACTAAGTCTAGCCTTGCTTCTGGAAGTAGACTTGTAGAAACTTATAGACTTACGTTCTTCCAACCACCACCCTTTGCTGTACCTGCTGTGCAGGAGTGACAGGCCTGTCTGAGCGCACCTGTGAATAGGTGAGGAGACAGGAGAATTTCTCAGTCCCTGGGAGGCCCTTGTGTCCTCATTTACCAAAATGAGGTGGTCCCATGTCACAGAAGTTGATAGAGGCAAAGGGCCGGACTGACAGCAAAGCTGGAGGGGATAGGACACCAAGGTGTCCTCTCCTTACCCTCAGGCAATAGGCCCTTGCATGGTTTGGGGCAGGACCGTTCTCTTCTCTGCAACTCAGTCTGCCTGGATACAGAGCAAGGATAAACGATGCACCTGCTTCATAAGTTAGTATTGAAGATGACCTGTGCTGTGTCCCTCGAGTGTGCAGATCTGTGCATCACAAGCCAGTTAGCCTGTGTCATTATGACTGCTGGTCCAGGGAGCTTTGGCTTTGAACCTGGGCTGTCAGTCACTGACCCATACCCTCAGATGCTATAACAAAAGCTTTGGCGTCCCAACTGGCCCTGGTAGCTCTTTAGCCAGCGTGAATAGTCTTCCTGGTCTCCATAGAAGTGGTTAGAGTTTAAAAACAGGGACTCTTGATGCTGAAGAAAGAGATGGGCAGGGAACTGGGGGAGCCCCCCAGGAATTTTGTCTTTTGGCGGTTTCCCTGAAGCGTCTTTGGAAATGCTGGCCTGCTACCCATTGTCCCTCTTGCTTCATCTGCCTGGGCATTGCAACATCCGGCGTGGCAATGAGCAGAGCGCTGTCCTGGGGGAGCAGCCCGAGTCGTGGGAACCCTGGAACATCTCTCGGGAGCGTCCAGCAAATGGGGCGGGGCCTAGATGGTGGGGCCACAGTTAGTCAGGGGCCTGGCAAGGGAAACTCCTGTTGTGCAAGCAGAGCTTTAGCAGGAGTGTCCCTGGCCTCTGTGGAGACAGGACTCTCCCGTGTGCCTCAGGGAAGCAGGAAGTGTTGCTTTGCCTGTGAAGGGGCACCAGGCCCAGCAAGAAATTGTGGGGCCCGGGAGAGCAGGCCGGGAGATGCAGAAACACTCACTCTCCTTCTGTTTCTTCCTGGGCTGTCTGTGTAAACTTGGGCTAGTTGACTGGGTCTGGTGAAGGGAATGATCGGAGGGGCTAACCACCATCCTTCTCAGCTTAACTTCCAAGCCCGGAGTCCGGTGGGACACGCCCAGTAGCTGCAATGAAAGGGATGAATAAACACATACCTTATCAGATGACTCCTTGCAACCCACGGAACGCAGACTGCATGAAGTAGAACCATGGGGCGCAGTCATCCTCAAACCCAGGTGCTTACTGGCCCTTGAGTGTATAGCCTTCCCAGAGAGGAGCGTGTCCGAGGATCAGAGCAAACCAATTACAGGCCTTTGTGTGTTTAGCTTTTCACACTGTAAATGCTTGCAGGGGAAGGGAGATCCTTTGAAATCAAGCAAATCTTGTTGGTTAGTGTTGGTGTTGTTTTTGGAGGCAGCCAGAGATGCCGCGCAAAGGGCACATTACCAATACATGAGGTTATGCCTAATTACCTGAGATAGCCTCCTCCACTGGGCAAAAATCAGCTGTCATCAATCCTGTATTAATTGCGGCAAAGGCAGGCTTTCTGCTCATGACTCAGAGCTGACTCAATGCTGGGGCAGGAGCTTTCCATGGCCTGGAGCTGCCCCCCCTTTTTTCCTGGAAACGTCTAATCTGGCTGCCAACCCCCTGGACAAGAGCATCAACTTTTTCTGGGAGGCCCTGTACCCCTAATTTAGCTCTTGCTTCCAAGCTGTGCATGGGGGAATGGGGTGGGGGCTGTAACTAGCCTGCCTTCACCTTCCCCGCTCCTACCCTGTGGCTCCCCCACAGGGAAGTCAGAGCCTGCTTCTCTAGAAGTGTAGAAGGAGAACTGAGCCTCCGCCCTGGAGTAGTGGTGGATGGATTTGCACTCAGCACTTCCTGACTTTGAAGTTGTACCATATGTGTTTTTAATACCCAGCTTACTCGGAAGGAATAAGGGGACCGTTCCAGAAGCTCAGTCGGTAAGTATCATGTCACACTGGTCAGGACTGAACTTGTTTCTAGTTCCTTCACAGCGAAGACAGGCCAAGTTAATAAAACAAGGGTGATCTTCCAGGCTGGGTGGGGAGGAAAGCTTTTGTCATCAATGCCGGCCTTTTGTCGACCGGACTGGCTGATAGGTCATCCAGTCATGTTTGATGAACAACTTCTCATCTTCTCACTCACAACAGTCTAAGATCTTTAGTTCTCCCCTGACCCCAGAGTGCCCCGTCAGAGGCTGGGGCATCCTGGACAAGCTTGTGAAGGAGGATACTTCTGACGGTTTCCAGTCCTCTCCAAGCAGCCTTTTCATAGGCTCTCCCGGCCTTCAGTGTCACTCTTCTGGGGGCCACACTTAATAGATCTCTGGGGAAATTCGACTCTAAAAGACAAAGTCTGGATGGAGTGGCAAATTTGGTCTTGCTGGCCTGGAATTGCCAGTGTCTCTCTGCAAAGAGTGAGGTGAGAGTCGCATTGAGTTGGCTCTGACAGTATACCAAATAGTAGCAATTACGATCCTCTACTGTTTTCCAGGTGGCAGGGGGATGGCCCAGAAGGATGTCCCTTCAGACTGTGAGCGACACACTTAGTCGTTTTACCCTATTCATTTACATCTGTGAGCTCACGCTGTTGGTATTTTAGGTCCTCTCGGAATCTGGGTTTTTCTCATCCCTCCTTTTCTGACAGATAGATGGCGGCACATGGAAAAATACATCTTGTCACTACTGTCCAACTTGATGCTCAGGACACTCTAATTAGAGCAGTATGGCCAAGACTGTCACCCATGCTTCCCTGGCTCTGTTAGCACCCCCTTTTCTAGTCCCAAGGCTGTGTGTCACCTGCCACACGGCAGGAGCTCTGTTTGGGCTCCAGAGGGCCGAGTGACATGTGGAGAAGGGTTTCGTGGTCAGGAATCCTGTGAGCAAGGTAGCTGATATTTGCAGGGTAAAGAGTGGATTGGCTGGGAAAGAGTGGGTTCAGTCCTTCCCAAAATGACCGCCCTCTCCTGATTCTCATCCTCTCCCCTCTGCTTTTCCCTCCTCCCTCCCGTCTTCTCCCTCTCTTACGCTATCCTCTGCATCTCTGTTTCTCTCCATCTCTCCACTGACTCACTGGCAGTGTAGACCCTGGGAAAACCCTCAGAGTCGTGGAGGAGGAAGTGACCAGTGGATCAGTCTCAACACCTCTCTGTCCCTGCACTGTTCTAGGTCTGATATGATCAGACTCTTCATGCCTCCCACCCTGGGGGTGGGAACTTGGCACCCAGGTCATCACTCTCCTTGGTTCCGGTAGCAGCGGCTCGGGGAGCATCCGTCTGAAGGTGGTGTTCAGCCTGGGGCAGGGCTCTGTGTCCCTCTGTACACTGTAAATCTCCTGCTTGTCATGAGCCACCTGAACTCGGGCTTCAACTGCCTTTCCCCGAGGCTCACAGATGGGGCAGATCTGGTCGCTCCTTGATCGTCTTTGTTCCTTTTGGATGTAGACCATGGTGGGAAGGAGGGGAAGACACAGCCAATAATGCTCATGGGTCGCATGGTTGTTTTTGTGTGTGCTTGAAGTTGCTGTCACTCTTTGGGTCTACGTAAAGGGCTGTGTGAATAGTCATCGCAGGGGGGAGGCTCCACCGACTGGACACAGCGGCCTGTGTGAGCTCCTGGTGTCCTGATTTCACAGCGGAGGATGGCAGGGAACAGGGATGCTGAGGAACCCCACCAGCTGCACACAATGGAACCAGAAATGAGACCGACCCACTCTGACTCCCGGCTGTTTATGAGAATGCAACTCTACGCCCCCTAGACAGCCACTGCTGGGGAGAGAAGAGGATGGAGGGGACGGGTGGGCACAGAAGTGCCCATCCCATAGACCTCAATGCCAGCACCAATAGGGTCTGCTTTTTTTCTGTACTGGGGACTGAACCTAGGGCATTGTGTAAGCCAGGCCATGCTCTCCACTAGGCTTTCTCCGAACGACACTCTCCCCTCTCACTCCTCCTTGGCTTAGAGTTAGGATCCCCTACTCTCAGATTAAGGGTGATAGGGGCGGATGTGTTTCCATTCCCACCCTGCTTTGAGGCGCACAGTGAGAGGCTCACAGATAAGTGACAGTGGTTGGGGACATCCCGCCATCAGCTGTTCCTGCTTCTTTCTCTGCTTGCTAATTCTTAGCAAAGAGGCTATGGTGGTTGACATCCGAGTCAGAGCCTGTCAAATAGTCAAGCCTAGGACACGCTCAGCATGATGCTTGGTGTCTCTCAGTTTCCACGGGGAGTACATGACTTCTATTTGTTTGCATTTTGTTGTCTGAGTTGCAGAGTGACTGCCAGTGTTACCCCTGCCCATGACCCTGGAATATAGGGATGGTAACTGTCGTAGGCAAGATCTGAACAAAATGCATTAGAATTCTGTTTGCCCAGGAGTACCCCAAGTTCTAATCGCCTGTCCATCTTACTGAATATTTCTCCTTCCTCCCACTTATCCTCCAGGGAGCCCTCTTTGATCCTCACAGGGAGTCTTTGACTTTTATTTATTTACATTTGCTTGTCTGAGTTGCAGAGTGGCTGCCAGGGTTAGCCCCATCCATGACCTTGGAATCTAGATAGCAAGACCCCTAAATGTAGTGGCCTGTGGGACATTGGTCAGATGAGGAGCGGCTCTCAGCCGTGAGGGTGAAGACAGCGTTCTCATTCCTTTCCACGCCTCTCTGTGGCTCTTGGTGCTAAGACTTTTGCTGACAGTCTCCTGTGCCAGCTCCCCTTTCTCTGGGGTCCTCGCAGCAGCACAGCGTGGGTGACAAAAGCTGGCGGCTTCTTGCACAGCAGATGGCTTCTGAGCAGCTGTCCTAACCTTGGCTCTCGCCAAGTCCTGGTGGCCTCCGAGGGTGCTGAGGTGGGAACAGAGCGCAGCAGCCTCTTTGGAGGTGAATTCCAGTTTTCTTCTGGAAAAAGGGCTACTTCCTGATTGCTAGAGAAAAAGAAGAAAGTCTTTAAAAGACTCCTGCCTCCCCGCTGGCCTCCAAACCACCGGCCTCCAACATTTTGATGATTTAAGTGTGGATGGATTAAAAACATGTGGTTCGTGTTTCCCCCAAATTCAAACACACATTGAACTTGAAGGAAAGTTAAAGAAAAAAAAAAAAGGAAAGGATTCAGAAAAAGCAGGTCGGGTTTTACTTACTCAGTGCCCTGACTTGGGAAACTTGGCTTAAGGTACTTATAAGTACACCTCCAAACTGGCTTTCTCAAGCCTCCGGAAATGTCTTCACTTGGCTGGGAGGTAGAATGGATTTGTGTCTGGGGTTGGGACAGAGGTGGGGGCTTGCTTCCCTCCACCGCTGAGCTGGACCCAAGCCAACTTTGTACAGCCTTGGGCACGGGGAGAGGGCTAAAGTTTTCAAATAATAAGACTGAACTCTCAGAGCGACCCCACCACCCTGCACAATACCTCATCCCAACTTTACTGTAAAATTCTGAGACTCAGTCAGTCAACATTTACCGAGCACCTACTATGTGCTGTTCTTGGGGGGTTCCTGTAGAGGGCAAACCTTCTACAGCCACAGACCGCTTCAGGCCAGCACTGAGGTCTGTGTAACGGACTCACTTTGTCTTCTCTAGCCTCCTTCTTCTCCTGCCTGCTTCCTGAAGGGACTGATTGCAGCTAACTAGGCCAGGGATTGGAGTCGCTTTCATGTGGCATGAAGGCTGGAGGCTGGGTCCTCTCAAATATCTTCAGAGTTTTATGGTCAAGCTGAGGAGTTGGTACGTTTGTAGGGAGAGCCTCGGTTGCAGCAGGGACTGGGCACGAGGCCTATAAATATCTTCTGGAGGTCAGAGCCCAACGATTCCAATTCCCCATTCCAAGTGAATGGTGCTGCCCAGAAGTTCTTGGCTACAGTTTTGGTCTGCACCTCTCAAAAGTTTGTGGATGACCCAGCTGGAATTTTCCACTGAAGCCAAGGATCTGATTGATGTTAGAGGAGACTACTGTGTGCATATTCCTGGAGCAGATATTTAAATAGATCACCCCATTGAACACCCAGGCACCCCTGAAATCAGCATTGTCTCCTCCATAGGTGAGGCATGAAGGCTCAAAGTGTGTAGATGCCTGGGACGGAGGTCATGGCCACTGCACTGGTGGGAGGCTGGTCTGTGGGCTGTTAGCCTGTGGCATAAGGGTCCTTCATTCTCCTGCCCGGCTCTGCCATCCCGTAATCACCAGGCAAGATCCGGCTTTTTGTAAGACTTGCGCTTTCTCTGGGTAATATAAATAACACATGTTCTTTTTCTCTCAGAAAAGTGGGGTAATTTAAAACCACATAAAGAAAATTAGAATCACCCATGTCCTTGCTATCCAGCCACCTCTGAGTACATTTTATTCACATTCTTCCTGTGTTGAGGGACATAGATGGACAGATAGGAGAAAGCCTGATAGACACTCAAGAAGATGAGTAAGCAGTGTTTTGTGTGTGTGTGTATGTGTGTGTGTGTGTGTGATATCTGTGACTATCTGTGACTCTGTGTGTGTGTGTGTGTGTGTGTGTGATCTCTGTGGCTGTCTGTGACTCTGTGTGTGTGTGTGATCTCTGTGGCTGTCTGTGACTCTCTGTGTGTGTGTGTGTGTGTGTGTGTGTGTGTGTGATCTCTGTGGCTGTCTGTGACTCTGTGTGTGTGTGTGATCTCTGTGGCTGTCTGTGACTCTGTGTGTGTGTGTGATCTCTGTGACTGTCTATGACTCTGTGTGTGTGTGTGTGTGTGTGTGTGTGTGTGTCAGGATATGTGCATGCCTCTGTGTGTGTGTGTGTGTCTCTCTGTGTATGTCTTCTTTCTGTGTGTATCTGTGTGTATGATCTGTGAGTGTGTCATCTCTCTGTGTGTCTGTGTATGTGTCTTTCTGGGTGTGTATGTGTGTTATCTGTGTGTGTGACTACAGGTCTGACGTAAACTTCTAAGTGTCTTCTTCTACTGCTCCCTACCTTGTTTTCTGAGACAGGGTCTCTCACAGAACCCGAGGAGGACCATTGCAGCTAGTCTTATTAGCCTGTGATGTCCTGGGAAGAACCTGTCTCCCCAAGCCTTGGGGTCACAAGCACATTTCTCCAGGCCTTGCTTTTACATGGGTGCTAAGAATCTAAACTCAAGTCCTCACGTTTGCATCATAAGCATGTTACCCATTGAGCCGTCTCCCTAGCTGGGATAAGCATTTTAATTTTTAAAGAGTAGATTCTCTTTCACAGAGTTGCTTCAATGGCTGACTGTTAAGGATACTGTTGTCACTTCATTTTCTCTTAAGATTTGAGTCTTAAAGAGGGAAATGGTGCACCTCCACATATAAAGGTAAAATCACACCAGAGTTCGCCCGCTATCTCTAGATCTTGTGTTCTCTAACGTGGATCATAGAATCAAACACCCTGCTCTCGCCAAAGCCAGCTATGAAAGCTTCTCTGTGGAAGCCTCTCATCCTCTCATTCCAGAGGCATCACCTACACCTGTGAAGGAAGACAGTCACAGAGAGAGAGGTCCAGAAGAATCTGTGGAGGCAGCCTCATTGGCTCCCATACACTCATCACCATCTGGTCACGCTCTGTGTGTCAATTATGCTTCCATATGTCTTCCCTTCTCCTTTGAATTCGAAGATAAAAGGGGTGGACATACAGTACTGGAACCCAACCCAAGACACAACACCCCATTTCCAACATATGCCGATATAAAATGATTATGAAAGTGATGTACTTTTTCACACTGGGCAGACAGAAAAGAGAAATAAGAAAGAGTGCTAGTGTTCTTTACAAGGAGATTAGAACAAAAAGAAATCTAGAAAAATACTACACGGCAGACCAGAAAAAAACTTGACTGGAACCAACACTTCTCCCAGACCTTGGGGGTTCACTTCCAAGACTTTCTTTGTCAAGTAAGGCTTGGATTCAGTCTACTCATGTGTGCCATGGCCCTTAAGAGGGGTAAGGAGACCACCTTACTTTCTACTGTACAAGTCAATTTCAGACACTCACACTTAAAGCCCAACTCTTCTTTTCTGAAAGTCTTTACTGTAGTAAGTACTCTGGAGAAAAGGCATTTTCAATGAGGAATGGGTTACAATGAAGCCATCTAGGACATGAATGGGCAGTGTTCCTGTGGAGACTCAGTTTGATATGACACAGAGATGGGACAGTGAAGGCTAAAGACTAAACCAAGTAAGCCACTCCCACTTAAGACTTAGAATCAGTGTGCTAGAGAATGTGGGGAAGGACCTGCTGGCCAGGCTGAGTCTAGAAGGTCTTCCTGGCCTCAGAACAACGAAGTTAGTAAAAAGCCAGATTCTTACATATTAGAAGGCATTTGGGATCCCTAATTCTACCCCAAAGATATCAATTAACATCTTGAAAGTTATATCAACTAGAAATAGTCCCCCACTTCCAACCTGTGTTGATACAAAATTATTATGAAGGTGACATATTTATTACAGATAAACAACAGAAATAAGCAAGATTACTGGTGTCATTTATAAGGAGATTGGAATAAGTGATACAGAAAAATATTATACGATATAACCGAAGAAAAATTGACTGAAATAAAGGCTGACTCAAAGGAAATGGTGAATCAGAAATTGTCACTCATGTATACTTCTTTGAAGAAACTGAATTCCAAGAGTAAGAAATAAATTTCCTATAAGCCAACAAGCATGTGAGAGAGACATACAATTTAAGGTATAAAAGAGTCAAAATTGCCAAGATTACCTTTTCACCTTCTCAAGCTATAGTCAAGGCCAGAGGACAAATGCTTGCCAATGTCAGGGGCAAAAAGGATGCTTTGAGAGTTTTAAGACAAACTGTATTTTACTTTGTTCTAGAAATATTGACCAACATGCGGAAATATGTACATTGTGATACTCACAAATCTTCAGGGGAAACTCTGCCTCTTCATTTATTATTGTCTTTTAAATCTAGAGAACATTGTGATGGACTAAGAATGAACGATGGAGGAGTGATATCTTTTGGTTGGGGCTATGTCTCCCCTACTGTTATCTCTCTGGCACTGTAAGTCAGAATAATCTCTTCCTTTCATAAGCTGCTTTGGGTAGTGGCATTTTATCACAGCAACAGGAAAGAAATTATTATAAAGGCCCAAGGTGATGCTTAGCAAATATTGATGACCACATAGCTAAATTGTGGAAACGTTTTTTAGTGTGCGTGTTTTGTATTGTTGGAGAATCTTCACAATGAATGCCCATCATATTTACAAAGCAAACAAGGTCAAAGATCAGTGTCCTGAAAGGCGTGAAAGCAGGCTATGAGGGCAGACGAGCTGGCCAAGCTTTTGGGATTCACCCTGCCCTGTCTCAGGAAGCCCTTTCTGTACTAGGGTTTCTAGGCACTCAGCTTCTACTATTGGCTGCAACTGACCTTGTTTATTCTCAACACCTTTTCTACGAATATACGACGCGTCAAAAACAAACATCTCAGACAACATCTAAGTCTACAACAAAACCCAAACAGTCAACCAACCAACCAAACATGCGCCACATTGTGAAACACGGTGAGGTGTGCCTGTGTGGCACATGCGTCATTTCTTGGGAAATGTCTTTTCTTGGGAGTACTGTACACAGAGGCAGGAGCCTGGAGTGAATCCCTGTGTGCTACACATGGATGCTCATGAAATGCTGTGTGTTTGGTGTCCATCCCATAACCACCAAGAACACTTTACTCTTCATGGTCTCCAGTAACAGCGACATACCACCTAAATCTAGGAGTATGTAATGTTCTTCACCTGAACTTAGTAAATATAGTCTCATTGTATGTCAGTCCACCAGGAGGGCAACACTGCGCCCATTGTACCAACTAGCAAACACAAGTTCATGGAGACTGGAGATTCAAACGACTTACAGGAGTGCAATTCTGAGCCAGAATTTTCCAGCAAGATCTAGGATGTGTAGGGTGGAGGGTGCCAGGGGCAGACTTGAGTATGTGTTTTCTTAAGCAAGAGGTTTGTTATTTGTGAAACCCCAACAATCCTCCGTTCTTTTAAATTTCTGTTTTTATGGTTTTAGTGCTTGTTTTTGCCTGTATGTGCATGTGCGGGCAGTCCCCACAGAAGCCGGGACAGGACATCAGACTCTCTGGAGATGAAGTTGGGTGGTTGTGAGCCGCCTGATGTGGATGCTGGGAACTGAACTCTGCCTTTCTGCAAGAACAGTCGGTGCTCTTAACCACGGGGTCACCTCTTCACTGTCTGCGATGTGCATATAAAATCGCCACCTTTGTATGCCTAACAAGCTAGTTTCTATTAACATTGTTGGAAGCACAAAAACAAGTGAAGTGATTGTTTTTATAATTCAAATGTTTTCTACCTCAGGTTATGAGAAATTAGATGGGACTTTCCCTTCAGAAGGTGTGGAAGACTGTCTTTTGTTGGAACTTTTCACATTTTTTGACAATATTTCCTTGTCTCATAAATGAGAATGGCTTACCACTCATCAAAGGAAGCTGAGAGAATCCACACACAGACTGTTTCTGTGGAGACAAAGAAGAGGCAGTGAGATGTTTAGGAGAAAAGTTATAAATGTAACGATGGGAAGAATGTGCGGTCCACATTAATTCAAAAGGACCCTTTATTGGATTGTGATCTGATTGTGTTTACAAATATATAGCCAGAGGCTTTTAATTTTGGGGCAATTTCATTGTTCATAGATATATATCCAGCTACAGATATACATCTATGAAATTATGTGCTTATGTGTTTTAAATGAGATACGGCCTCTCTACTGTAATGCAATAATCTTCCTACTTTATGATCTACAGTTGCCCAAAGTTGGGGCAATTTCATAACAATCTTATTTGAAATACCATAATAGATGGAAGATGTAAATATGTGATGTTTAGAGACACAGTTAAAATGTGAATTCACTGGAGTCTAGCAACCGAGGGAGCTACCAAGGACAGAGTCCATGAAACCGCACGCATTGGCTTCTTGGTTTCTAGCCACTTCTTGCCTCTTTGCTGTTTATTTTTCTCTTAAGCCCAAGTTCAATAAATAAACCTGACTGACAATTAAAATGTCCCCAAACGATTCTAGATTGAGAAATGCAAAAACCCAGCCTGGCTGGTGCTCCTCTTGCAGCAGAGTTTGATTAACCTCTCTAATTGCGTTTGGAGGGGTGGGGTGGGAGCTCACGAGGCACTTTCAGTGAGAGCTGCCTATGAAAAACCTCAATTATCACTAAGAATGGAAAATGTTCATAACAGATAAACGCTCTTCCCAGTCAAGAGCTGCCATTTTGACGCAGTGCAGCTGATTTGGGAGAGACACCATTCTTGGCCCCCTTTTTCTTCTGTGCCCTATGCCCGGCAGCTTTCAGCTGCCTGTAGGTGAGCCCCGTGGCCTGCAGCCAGCTCAGCTAAAGCATCTGTTTTTTTTTTTTACTCAAGCACTGGGTGCCCTGCACTGACGAAGATGAAGCCAGAAAGCTGTGGAGAAGTAAAAGCAAGATGGAGACAGGCGCCCTTGTGAGGCCTCTGCTGTGGAAGGTAGGTGTCTCTGAGAGGGCACTCTGGTTCCTCCTCTGTATCTCCCTTTCTTCCAAGGGACTGGGAGCTTTGGAATCACAGAGGCCTAGGATAGAATTCTGTCCTACTCTCCAAACAGGGAACTTCAGCCTTGGGGCTAGGGTTTCCCATCTGGAACACAAGGGTGGGTCTATCCAACTCCCAACATCATTGTGCAAGGTTAAAGGAAGTCAAGAGAGGAAGGCAGCTGGCAGGTGACAGGGGCCCACAATGGACACTTTACTGGTATAGGGAAGCTTAAGGCATTTATGTCTTTAAGAATTAACTTATTCTTTAATGTTTTTATGCATGTGCATATTACATCACTATCATCCCTCTACTCTTCCTTATCCCTGTCCCACCTCCCTGCCCTTATTCCTCTGCACACTGAGTTGTCATTTCATTTTGAAGTCTTTTGGTTTTGTTATTTTTGCTTTGTGAACCATTGGGTTTATCCAGGGGGTAATCCCATGAACACAGGCACGACACTATGTACCACAGCATGGGTAAGTCATCAGGGACTGCAACACTGAAGACAATGACTTTCTCTTCTTCAATGGCTCTTTATTGCCATTATCTCCCTTGGGCAAGATGAGACTCTTAGTTACTTTTTTATTGTTGGGGTGAAATACCATGACCAGAGCAACTTTTAAAAGAAAACTTTTAATTTGGCTTAATATGGTTTCAGGGGCTTGAAGTCCATGATGACAGAGCAACCACAAGGCAGAGAACAGAAAAGGACACTGGGAATGATGTTAGTCTTGCAAAATCTTCAAGCCTATCTCAATTGGCACACCTCCTGTTGAGGCCACACCTCCCAGTCCTTCCCAAACAGTTCTACCGACTGGGGACCAAGTATTCAGACATATGAGCCCATGGAGACATTTTCATTTAAACCACCATGGGCCCTATGAGCCCCTCTTTCATCTATAACTTCATATGGCTTCGTCTTGTGCAGGCCACCACAGCTGCTGTGAGTTTTCAAGTGCCGTGGCTATCATTCAGCTCTTACGTTCTGTCTGGTTCCTCCCCTGTGTTCAGTGCTGAGCACGCAGCAGTCACTTGTTAGCACATTAACTACCCAGTCTCTGTTTAGACTGCTATTTGCTGCAAAGGGAAATTGATTTGATACAGGATGAGGACATCACTACTCTACGGCTATACACACGTATTTAACAAACAGCTTGATGACATGTTCAATCAACAAGACCAAGGTAGTAGGTTTACTGCTAGTATCATGAGATCTTTAGGCCTGAGCAAGGTCCACGGTGCTGGTCAGGAACTCTCTCCTATATGTCAGGCCTCAGAATCACACGGAGAAGAATTGGTAACCCCCATAATAGCCATGCCACTGTTGTAGCACTAGGCACCTCTTATCTAGCAAATTATTATTGCAGCAAGCAAGGTGTAGAGCCAGGGAAGACAATTTCTGACATGTCTCCCCAGCTCCTTATGTAATAACTTCCAACACCATGAAAGCTAGCCAGAAGTGGGGAGCTTCTGCTTCAGTTTTGGTATGATTTCTCTGAAGTTTACAGCTAAGGGGTGTAATATGTCCATCAATGGAATCTTATCATCTCATTTTGGTGGACAGTCAATGGCAATGTCTATAACACAGAAGATTTTGGATGTCTCTGGGGCTTTTCCAGTCAGTAACTCCTAGGTAGGTGCCCTGTACCTGACACTAAGATTGTCATTTAATGACTAACCTATGGTTTCTAACTCATCACTATCTAGTCATACTTGGCATCTCTGTTCAAAGCCTTTTTTTAAAAATATTTTTTAATAAACTTATAAAACAAGGGGGGGGGGGGGGAGCACAGGAGGAAGGGAGGGAATGGGAGAGGGACCTGGAACTGACTTGTGAAGCAACCTTGTTTCTTATCTAAATTTAAACTGGAAAATAAAATTAAAAAAAAACAAAACAAAAAAAAACAAAACAAAAAAAACAAGCAAACAAAAAAACAATGACTTCTCTATCTATAACTTCTTCATACAGCCCTAGTCTTAGTTAACCCTCTCCCTGTACCCCACTTTCTGTCTCCATTCCCCACTTATGTCTATTTAAACCTCTCCACTTCTGGTATCACCTCCTTTTATCTTCATAGTAGATGTTCTGTCATTTCCACCCCCATTAAGGCATCTGTTTTCCCCCCTACCATAAAACCATTCTTGTACCAGCATTTTTACAGACATCCAATTTTGATAAACACATCTAAAATATTGAAGCTATGATCCATATGAGAGACCATGCAGCATTTGACTTTGGGGAGTTGGATACTTTCCTCATTATAATTTTTCTAGTTTCATCAATTTACCTGCAAATTTCATTTTCCTTTACAGAAGAATTAAATTCCATTGTGTGCATTCACTATTCATTCATCTGTTGAATCTCTTCAGTCAAACAGAGTCCTTTGTGTATATGCTCAGGAATGGTGTAGCTGGGTCGTAGGGCAGTCTGAGTTTTAGTCCCCCTCCCCCCCGAATCCTCCAGACTGACTGCCATGGCGATTTGACTAGTCTATATTTTCATCAACAGTGTCACCATTTGCATCCTCCATAGTGGCCGTCCTGAGTCAAGATGACCCATTCTGGGTCAAGGAGAATCCTGAAGTGGTTTTTATATGCATTTCCCTGATTGCTAAGGACAAATGACAGCCTTAAAAGTGCTTATTAGTCTTTTATATTTCTTCTTTTGAGGGTTCTCTGTTCAGTTCCTCAGCCCACTTTCAATGAGGTAGTTTGTTTTCTTAATGTTTAGTTTCTTGAGTTCTTTGTGTACTCTAGACACGAATGGACTCTCAGATGTAGAGCTGGCAACACTCCCTGCTGCCTTCTCACTGGACTGAGAGTTTCCTTTGCTGCAAGAAACTTTTGAGGTTCGCGAGGTCCCGTTTGTTACTTCCTGCTTTCTTCTTCTTGCCCCTCTCACCTTGATTTCCTGCACTCTAGCCTTCCCATCATCGTTGCCGCCACTTAATAAACACAGCTGTGCAGGGCTCGCGTCAGGGATCCCTTCTAAGAAAGATGTGATGAGGCGGCTGTGTGTGTGAGGTTCTGACTGTGCTCACCCACTTGGGAGGGGGGACGACACATTGTAAGGCCATGTAGCCTTATGGAACTTCATGATGTGTGCTGTCTTTTGTTGACTTCTGAAACATCGTGAGGCTGAATTCCTTGTCACTGAGCTCTGTGTTGATCGCCTGCCATTCACTCGCCCCCCTGCTGCTCTATTTCCTTAAATGTTCCTTCTTCCCCTCTTTGCCTCTCCTCACACTCCAGATTCAGTCACCACAGCCCCGCCCTCCTTACCTTCTCTGTACGGGGTCAACCAAGAGGACAGCCCCGGCTGGTTTCCAGTCCACGGCAGGCTTAACTCTAACTTAGGTTCACTCTGTGATTGTCCACAGTGCTGCTGCGGGTATGTGAGATCTCTCTCCACAGTCCCCTCTGCCCATGAGATTAGGACTCTGTACCCTGACCCTGTCTCTGGGCTCTACCTTCTAGAACCTTTCAGGAACAGTCTGCCCTGGCTTTGTACATCATAGGGTATTGAGCCTGTTGGACACTTACAGTCAGTTTTGAACCACACAGTCTCATGTCTCTGTGGCTTCTGCCTTCTGTGTCCCAAGCTCACCAGATAATACTCAAGAGAGACATATTCCTTGGTTTCTCCACTGTTATTTCCATACCTCTTCCTTCCTCATTTTCCTACTCTGCTACCCTTCCTGCTCCCCCCCCCACCTCTAAACAAGTCTCTCATTCCCACAGAAGATCCAGGCATGATAGCACGCAGAACGAACTCTGTACAGTGGAGCCCAAATCTATCGGGGAGTTCAATGGAGCAATGACCCACGGCACAGAGCCCTTCCCTGGGAAGTCCACCAGAATCAATGGTAAGACTTGCTGAAGAAACCACACACCTTGGTTGCAGAATTCAGAGAAGCCACACTGGTACTGAGCTTCCATAATGACTAACCTTCATGCTGTTTGAAATTGCTATACAGACAGTTGGGGGAGAAAAGTAAGCAGAGGCCTTTCCCAGCTTTAGATCTTTCCTGATACAATATCAACCTTCCAAATAAGAGGAGCTTACTAGTGCAGCAATGGCATGACTCCTAAAGAGGTAACCAACTGATTTCTGATTGAATCAATGAACCGATACACAGAATGGAGTCAAAGACCCATGACTTCAGTGGCCATGGGCATAATTAGTGAACCTACTACTTTCGTCTTGTTTATTGGACTCATTGTCAAACTGCCTCTTAAACATTACTGTTCTTGCCAGGTCCTACACATTGGTTAACATAACCCAAGGGCAAGGGTAATATATAAGGGATTAAGCTTTGCAGAAACAAGTAAAGGAAGTGACATGAAGAATACATTCAGTAGGATTCAACTGGGTGATGGGCTAGTTGTTCAATGCCAATTTGGTCTGGGCCAGCATCCTAAGATTTCAGAATAACACTGGGAGGTAGACTCTCATCTTTCTTGGATTTCTCCTCTTAAGTCCAGCATTGAGTTCCCTTCAGAGTAGATGGGGAGGAAGTATCACAAACAAACAAACAAACACCCTCTAAGCACACTGGGGGGGCAGTAACAAAGGGGAGGATCCTGGGTGTGTTAGCACTTGTACAAAGGGGGGTGATGGTGGCATAGGGGCATGGATACTCTCACCCTTCTGGTTGATGTTCAGTGTTTACTGACTAAGCCAGTAGGGGAGATAGCTGTAGGGCTTGTGTGAGTAGTCCAGGAGATAGGACAGCAGAGACATGCTTTTGATGCATGGCATGAATGTTCTCTGACATGAGCCCCATACCTCCACCCACCATGCCAGCTGAAATGAGTGTCTACTACGGGTTATCAGACAGGAGTATCCAGTGACTGAACCATGTAGTGATCTAGGGTCAGTTGGTGTCCATTTAGAACAGTGGTGGATATGGTCCAAAATTTCCGAGGTATTGACTGAAAGTTTTACTATGACCTCATCTTAGTTCAGCTTCTCCCCGATAAACACTTCTTCTTTAACCCCTTGAAGTTTTTTGTTCCCGGAAGCCTTCTGCAAATAAATGACATTCCTCAGTCTGTTTTTCAAGAGCCCAGTTGTAGTGGTTTGGAAGAAAATGGCCCCCAAAGGGAGTGCCACTGTTAGGAGATGTGGCCTTGTTGGAGTGGGTGTGGTCTTGTTAGAGGAAGTGTGTCACTGTGGGGGTTCGCTTTGAGGTCTCCTATGTTCAAGCTATTCCCTGTATGACAGACCAGTCCCTGTTGCCTTGGGATCAAGATGTAGAATTCTCAGCATCTTTTCCAGCACTGTGTCTGCCTGCACGACACCATGTCCCACCATGATGATAATGGACTGAGCCTCTGAACTGTAAATCACCCAACTAAATGTTTTCCTTTGTAAGAATTGCCATGGCCATGGTGTCTCTTCACAGCAATAGAAACCCTAGCTAAGACAGCAGCGTGTGCCTGATGGTCCTGCAGAGACTGAAGGATGCATACTCTAGAAAGAATTCTGGATTTGGAGATGCTCCTGGCCCAGTGGCAAGGAAGACCCCATCACTAGAAGTAGACACTAGATGAGCAGGCCCTGGTGTACAACAGCAATGCCGTGATTCAACTTTTGACTGAGGTGTGATGGGAGCCTGGAGAGAGGAATATACTGCAGGTAAACTTTCTCAAGTGAAGAGGGAGGAGGCTGCAATTAGATATTGTGGAACTCACGTGAGGCAACTGATGCATGACAGACACAGAGCAAGGCTAAGAGTGATTACTCATCAATTAAGGCCTGTGTTTGAGAGCCGGAGGGTAGCATAGAAAGACTCATACCCCATCTCCTGGCAGAAGAGTTGAGGGTCAGGCCATAATTAAAGGAGTATTAGATTGTCTAGAAGGGGCTGTAGTCTCAGACCCTGCAGCCAAGGCTAGTTCTCAAGTGGAGGAGCGGTAGGATAACAGCTCAGTGAGTTCCTTTGAACAGTCTCGCTTCCTGACTCCTTTGAGTTAGAGATTTCCGTGGTGAAGTGGGTGGGTCACCCTGTTGGTAACCACCCAAGGGCAGATGCTGGTCTCCACACAGAATGGGGTGGATGGGTAGCATCTGATGTGGCTACAGCATGGGGGCAGCAGAAGCTTCTCCGACGCTGCTCACACACCACCACCCTCTAAGCAACCCTGCAGAAGACACCTGTAGCTGCAGACTTGGATCGTCTGCACCAAAAGAAACTGAATTTAGGTTCGGTGCAGAAGGCATGGACTTTAGTAGATGCTGCTGTGCTTCTAGGACCACATACAATGGCACCTGTGGCACTGATTGCACCACAACCCTCCATCATCGAATGGAACTTCTTTCCTGGGTTCTCAGGTCACTTATCAATGTAAACATACACTGGAGTATGAATATCCCGGCCCTTTAGCCTTGATGTGGGGCGTCGCTGAAGGTTGTTGTCCACAGCAGGGCTTCCCACAAGATCCCCTGACAGTTGGCTTATCTCTCCTCTTGTCTCTTTGTCAAAGCTCTCTTTTCACTGTTTCCTCTGCACCTCTCCTGTAGTGGTTTTGTTTTTTGCAAAAACACTCCTCAAAAGTTCCACTGAACTCTCAGAGGCTCAGTGTTTATTTCCCAGGGAACCTGCATTTGCACACAGTAAGGTCTGGGGCTCTTGTACTCTCTACCTCTCTTCTGGATTAATGTTCAAATACGAGGTCCAAGGATGCCACTGTGATCTTAGGCCTGGTACTCTGCCCCCTGGATCTGCCACCTCTGCTAATTTGTAAAAGCCTCCTCCAGGCTCCTTACCCTGCCCCATCCAACTACAGAGTGAATCCTGGTCTTGCAGGCTGGACAGAAGTGGAGGTGGTCATTTACTGATGGAGAATGTGCATAGGTTGTTAAGTCCAAATGCATAAAGCCTGTCTTCCCTGCTGTTTATGAATGACTGGCCTTCCAAAGCCACGCTGGAAATGGGGTCCCACTAAGAAAGCTGATATCTCTCTTTCCTTTCTAGAGACATGGGAGTAGGTGGGTGGGTCACTTAGTACACCGACAGCTGACCCTGGTAACACCTAGAGTCCACTTTGAACTGCAGGAAGGCCAGGGCATAGCTAAACAGCCTTTCAAGTGCTTGTATTTGGCAAAGACCCCAGTGTGTGTGTGTGTGTGTGTGTGTGTGTGTGTGTTCTCTTAGCTCCTCCTCTGCTCATTTCCAGGCCTCCATGTTCCTAAGGGTCTTTATTCAGTATGTTTTAGACTGCTATGCATCTCGTTCAAGTGCTATTGATGGACTGACTGTCTCAACTGCGTGGAGCCTCTTCCTGGACCAGAGGACTTAGGCCCAGCTAATAGTGACAGGGCTGCCTTGTGTGACCTTATAGGAGGTCAGGCTGGTTGAGAGCTCAGAGTTGGCTCAGGGGATCCTTTACCAGTCTAATAATTTCCATGCTTAACCTTTCACGAGACGGGGGAATGTCTAGGGTGGAAGAACAAACATCCTTATTTCTTGTTACTCTAAGTATCTGCATAATGAAAAGAAAGCAGAGGCCACTAATCGTCTCCTCAGCCTGTGGCTTTGCTGCAAAGGCCTCTGGGAAACCCTTTTCTAGGTGCCTCGCTATTCTGGCCAACCACATCCTGCGACGGACAGGCTTCACTCACTGTTCAACCCAAGGCAGGTGAGGACCGAGTTCATTTCTCCATGGGACGGATGCATTGGTTGATCTATCTCAGAGGCCACAGGAGGCCAGGTCGGGAGCAGCTTTAGGGGAGGACTTTACTAAGCACTCCTTTAGTGCTCCTGGGAGCACTGGGCTGTGAGCATCCAATGTGCCTTTTAACAGACAGAGGAGGCTAGATGCGCAAGCATGTCCTGAGACTCTAAGGCCCTCTCCTTCCTCCTGCAAACATCTAAATGATCAGACAACATCGCCTTGCTTGAGAATATTAAACTGTGTCGAAAATGATAATATAACCTAGGGTTCCCTGTGTTCATATAGCTTCCAATTTCGCTGTGCTACAGACACAAAGTGACTTGGTTCAAGGAAAACAGGCCTTGAACTTAAGCTTGGGAAGATCACTTTGAGCTCACAAAGTATGGTTGTTGTGAGACCACAAAACCGGCCGGCGGAGTGTTTAGTCTGCCCCTGCAATGTAGTATGGGGTGCTGGCATCCATTGCTGTGGAGACAGATGCCTGGTTAGGGGCCCTTGAGGTCTACTGTTATCTCTGGATCTGTCTGACCAGAGACATTCAGTCCAGCTGCATGGAGGGTCTGCAGGAGAACAAGCCTGGGCCCTCTTGGAGGTGTGTGGAGAGTGCTGCGCTCTCTGCCTTTGCTCCCTGGGAAGGAGGGTGAAGATGTGGGATGTGCCCACCTAAGGAAATGTACTTGCCTTGGGCTGGACTGGTCTGACTTTCCTGACTGAGATACTAATACAGAATTCCCCAAGGGCTGCTCAGTAGAGACAGGCTTGGAGTTTGAGTTAAGTCACCGGTAGGACTACGGTATGTGCTGTGTGTGTATGTTTGTGTGTGTCCTCATGTGCACCTGTACATGTATGCACAGATGAGGGCCAGGAGCTTCACAGAGAAAACATTGTTTGGGTTGGCAAGACCCTGGGGTTACTTCTCAGTATAGACTCCAGGTCGATGGTTCCTCTCCCCCTCTCTCCTCCCTTCCTTCTTTTCTTCCATCTTTCCTCCGTCCTCTTGTCTTTCCCTCCTTCTTTCTCTGTCACTCCCCTTTTCTTCCTCTTTCTCTCCTCCCTCCTTTCCCTTCCTTCATCCCTCTTTACTTTCTCTGTCCCTTCTTCCCTCATTTCCTTCTTCCCTGTCCCTTCCTTCCTAGCCTCTTCCTCCCTGCCTGTTCTCCTTCCTTCCCCCCTCTCCCTGCTTCCC